GGGGGGGGGGAGGAAAGAGAGAGAGCCAGGAGCAATTCAAAGCTAGAGAACTAATGGGGAAGAGCTGACAGCGGGCGCTGGGGGAGGGGACTGCTGTTGCCGCCACCACGTGTGGGAGCGTCCATCTCAGGGACCTGAGCCAGGAGGCACGGGAACTGCAAGTGGGAGCATCTGATGATTTCAAAGAACTCCTGGAACACGGTAGATTGGCATTTTGTAGGTCTCAGTGAAAGAGTGAGTTTTGCTTTACCTCCTTTCCTCCCTGGGTAATGCGAGAGATGATTTTTCTCCCCCCCCCACTCCCAAATAATCACTGGCTGTGGCTGGGTTTGGCAGCGAAGTGCTAAAGTGATTGAAGTGCCCCCAGGGACACCTTTCCTTGCCTGTCTCCAGGTGACGCTGGAAAAGCCCCCCCCCCCCCCCCCCTTCCCCCCCCCCCCGCCCCAAGCCCCCCCACCCCCCACCCGGGATCTGAAAGCAGCTCCCACTTTCTCCCCCTCCCCTCCCCCAATTAATCACCAAGAGTGGCAGTCCTTCTGCAGGCAGATGCCTGCTGAGAAGCCCCTGAAGTGGCAGCCAAGTGGCGCTGCCCCCCAAGGAGAGCAAAGCCCCCTTTTTGCCTCTGCTTCTCCCAGCAGTTGCCCCGAGGCCCCTCAGCTCAGACACACACACACACACACACACCGCCTGCTCTTCTGCCTCTTTGGAAGGTGCCAGGTGGGGGGAACCCTCCAGCCTGGAATATTTTATTTTGTTATCATTAAGCATTTACATTTTAGTTATAATTAAATAAGTGTGTGTGTGAGTGTGTATATATAACTAAGTAACTAAGACCAACCTGAGCACAACCAAGCCCCCACCTGAACAGAACACACCTCCAGCCAATCAGAACATGGCCAACCCCCCAACCAATCAGAACACAGCCAAACCCCCAACCAATCAGAACACAGCCAAACCCAATCAGAACACAGCCAAGCCCCCACCCAATCAAGTCACACCCCCACTAGCAGTTAAAAGGAAGAAGCAGCTGCAAGCTCACATCACTCTGAGAAGCACAGAGCTGAAGACAGAAGCCTGAAGATGATGAATGAGACTTCATCGAAACGTTGCCTAGATACTTCCAATCTTACGCGGGAGAAAGCCCGAATAACCAAAGATCCACATACATACATACATACATACATACATACATACATACATACTCACACATGAATGGCATTCAGCTTTGTTCGGGTATTTTCCCACGTCATTGTAGTTGTGCTTTTTTTTTTTTAGTTGTGCTTTTTTTTTTCAGACGAACACAATACAGAAGCCTGATGATGGCAGATGAGATTCTGCCGAAACGTTGCTACAACTTTAAAAGCACAACTATAATGACGTGGGAAAATACCCGAGCAAAGCTGAATATCATACATGTAAGTACCCGCGAAAACTAGCTTTTTAAAAAAATTCGTATTCGTGGTCCTTGGGATTTAAAAGTATGATTTTGATGGTCCCTGAGATTCAAAATGTTGGCGACCTCTGGACTAGATGACCTCCAAGGTCCCTTCCAACTGTAGTATTCTATTATTTCAAGTCCAGAAGCCGTTTTGGAAATAACAATGACGCTTATGTTAGGATTTTGCCATGGAGAATGTAAGTCTCTCATATTTCGTTGTTATGAGCTAAATATGATAGGCAGACAGATATCTTTAAGTATGTTTGTTTAAGTGGATGGACGGGGTAGGCATATTGGCACCTCCAGCATCAAATGGGGAGACTTTAATACCATACTTCTTAAACAGATTAAAGGGTAGTTCTGGAAAAGAGTATTTTCTTTTCTGAAGTGCAATCCAGATTCTACTATGTTGGCGGGGGATATTAAGGATTATTAATAATACAAGTGATGGCACTTTTCTTCTAAATTCTTTGGGAAAGGAAGGGTTAGTGACTTTTTATTGGTTTGGATGTTGTTAGTTTGAACACTGACATTACTGGCAGATTTTACAAATGTATATATTATGATTGCCCCGGTAAACTGTAAAATGAAACGATCTGTTTGCAGTCATGCTGGAGAAGGGAAAGGAAAATACAGGAATCCAAGACATTTTGCTATGGATATATGAATATTATGATTTACTGTTAGCTGAATTATTTTTTCTGCCATTCCATCTCTGCTACTGGCAGTCTCCTGAATGTCCATAAAACTTAAGTTTTCCATTCTCTTCCACAGTATTATCTATTCATTTTTTTAAACAGAAGATGAGTTTAACATATCCCAAATGAGAAACATTTGAGAAAAGCAGTCATAAAATAGAACAAATTGTTTTCACCGACAAATCTTTTTCATTAAGTCCTTACCTTTTCGGTTTTTCAGTTGAATAGGAAAGAGTTTTCTGCCTTGTTTATATATTAATAAGCTGCCTAAGAGGCTCAGGGAATGAACAAAATAAATATATTGCAATTCTTTTCCTGTGTAGAAATTCTTCTGTTTATTACCTTGAAAGAAAAGAAACATCAGTAAAAGTGCTTACTTTTTCCCTCCCCTTGCATAGAGTACCACGCTCCTATTGATTAGCATTAGTTTATAAATTTATAAATTTTATACAAAATACATCTGTTAGCAACAGCTGGTTTCAAATTTCAAGAGGAAACCGTTAAAAAAAAATAGAGAAAAACAATCAGAAAAATGGATTTAGGAATTTTGAAACTGAATATATCCCAACAGTCGTAACGATGAAAAAATATTCATGTCATTTTTCAGTGTGACTTTGAAGTCACTAAACAAATGGTTGTTAAGTCAAGGACTATATAGAGGGTTGGTTAAGATTTACATCCTTTGACATGCAGGGAAACAACAGGCCTACTCTATAGTAGCCCTCACAGTCCCCTATACCTGTAGTAGCCTATAAAAACCTCCCTTTTTAAGACCTTAAAAGGTAAAGGTTCCCCTCGCACATACGTGCTAGTCATTTCCGTCTCTAGGAGACAGTGCTCATCTCTGTTACAAAGCTGAAGAGGCAGCGCTGTCCGAAGAAGTCTCCGTGATCATGTGGCCAGCATGACTAAATGGCAAAGGCGCATGGAACGCTTTTACCTTCCCACCAAAGGGGTCCCTATATTTACTACTTGCATTTTTACATGCTTTCGAACTGCAGAAGCTGGGACAAGTTACGGGAGTCCACTCCGTTACACGGTGCTAGGGATTCGAACTGCTGAACTGCCGACCTTTCTGATCAACAAGCTCAGCATCTTAGCCACTGAGTCCCTTTTAAGACCTTGGAATCCCTTAATTCAGGGCAGAGTTGGGGCGACTGGATGGAGCTGAGAATTTACTGGCCGGATGCCCTTCCTGAGTTCATAGCAGATATTTTAATCTTTGCAACATAGGAAACATCTGCCGCTACCTAGGATTGAGCTCTCAATCTTCTTTACCACTCAGCCACCACACTGCTTTTCTATAGTAGCTTTATCTATAGTAGTCTATAAATGATTAAAATCAGTATTTTTCCAGCGAGCCTTTGACACAGGCTGATCAAATTGTGAGCATCTATCTTAGTTATTTTCTACATCTTAGCTTCTTTATTCTCATTAAGTTTTGTTGCAGTTTCCACATTTTTGGTTTAATGTTACAATTTGTGGGTGTGTGGGTGTTTTATTATGAGCAGCATAGAGACTTTCAGGACTAGGATGGCTTAGAAATGATGATTAAAAAAGAAATAAAACTTGCTATTAAAAGTCTTGTTGATATAGCACTACTCACTGTTTTAGAACAGTGTAAATAATAAAAGGATTTAAAGAAAATATTATACAGCAAATAGAAATAGTGCGTACTATTATGTGGTGTGGAAAATAGATTAAACATTCTTGATCCATTCACTGCTGACTCACAAGCTTCCAAATAGGTGGCACACTGCTCAACAGTTGCAATGATCTAAAACGTAAAATAACAAATCATATCAAATCTCACCACAGAGACCATGTATTGTACAAATTTGTAGACCCTCCAAACAATATTTCACTCCATTTAGATCATTAGCAAAGTTACTGTAGGTTTGCTTCACTCCGATACATTTTTATATAAAAGATGCATATGAGTGATAAGATGAAATATACAGTGTCTCTCTAAAAACTATATCTAAAATGTGGCAACTGCCTATAGGCTCACATTGATATGCAAATAGAAATGATGAATTATCTGTATCTCTTAGTTCCATTGAAATTGGTATCATATACATCTTATTTCTTTTATTGATACAAAAATGCCTTAACTCTGGGTTTCATTAAATCCAGTGCCAAAATGCTCGCAAAACATAATTCGCAAAGACATTTTGATTAAATGAAGTAGCATTCTAAATACTTAGAACTTTTGAAAGCTACAATATCTGAAAATTTGGGTAGCACAGACTTACCAAAGATTTGTATTTCTTTTCAAGTAGCCTTAACACTACTGTTCTGCTGTAGTAGGCATGCTAATATCACAAAGCAAAGGTATAATACAGTTAGCATTTGTTTCTGAACAAAATATTATTCAATTCTTTCTTCAATTATTAAGATACATTTTGCAACAACATTGTATAAAGAGGAAGTAGCACATTCTAACATAAATTCTATTCAGTGCAAGATGAGAAAACAAGCCATTTTAACGAAAACTCTCACCTTTAGAGGAAGCCAAATGAACATATATTGCACAATTGCACAAACTAGTAGTTAGTTTACGTCTGAAATCAATAACAAAAGATTTGTTTCCTCTAAATGTTCCATTTTTAAAAAAATGATCATTTCACATTTGCTTAAAAAGATTGTGCAAAATTCCCACCCAAAAAGTTCTATTTTTATTTTCATGCCTATTTCTTGTTGTCACTGATACTATTTCCAGTCAACACTGCAGATTTACAAATCAATTTGGCTGCATTCAGCCAAAGTCTCCTATGGATGCAACTATACCTTTGTTAGCAAGTTTCTGAGCTAGCCACTGTTTTCTTTTGAATTTGCTAACACATAAATTATTAATGGATACGCAAATTTGCTTTTAACTTTGTGTCATAGAGAAGCTATGTCAGCTACTCAGCTTTTCAGGGAGACAACATGAGGTGGCAAACCGCATTGCTTTGTGGCAAGCGAATTGCATTGCTGCACTCCAGTGGTGGGATTCAAATGTTTTTTACTACCAGTTCTGTGGGCATGGCTTGGTGGGCATAGCAGGGGAAGATTTTACAGGGGATACTGTAAAATCTCCAGTCAGAAGTAGTATTTGCCGGTTCTCAAAATTTCCACTACCGGTGGAACTCCAGAACTGGTCAGAACCTGCTGAATACCACCTCTGCTGCACTCCCAAAAGATCTACATCAATAGGGATTAGTTATGGGCCTAGTGTGGCCATACTGAAGCTAAATTCAAAACATTGATTATATCTCTTTAGCCAAAGGTGGTATTCAGCACGTTCTGACCAGTTCTGGAGAACCGGTAGCAGAAATTTTGAGTAGTTCAGAGAACCAGCAAATACCACCTCTGACTGGAGATTTTACAGTATCCTTCCTCTGCCACACCCACTAAGCCACGCCCACAGAACTGGTAGTAAAAAATTTTTTAATCCCACCGTCTTTAGCCCTCTATGACTTGGACATTGGTACTTACAGAATTGCCTCTCAGACAAAACGGACCTTTCTGGCATACAGGTAGTCCTCAACTTACAACAGTTCATTTAGTGACCGTTCCAAGCTACAATGGCACTGAAAAAAGTGACTTATGACCATTTTTCATACTTACGACCATTGCAGCATTCCCATGGTCACCTGATCGAAATTCATATGCTTAGCAACTGACTCATATTTATGGTGGTTGTAGTGCCTTGGGTCATGTGATTAGCTTCTACAACCTTCTGGCAAGCAAAGTCAATGGGGAAACCAGATTTATTTAACTGTGTTACTAACTTAACAAATGCACTGATTCACTTAACCACTGTGGCAAGAAAAATCGTAAAATGGGGCAAAAGTCACTTAACAAATGTTTCACTTAGCAGTAGAAATTCTGGGCTGAATTGTGGTCGTAAGTCGAGGACTACCTGTTTTTGTCTTGAATGTGGCTAGTGAAAGTGAGATGAAGGGACAAAATTTTCCAATTTGTGCTCCTTCCAGTACATTTTATCCTTGGAGATCTGGATGCTACCCTCCCTGAGGGCATTCAGAAGTGTTGAGATTAATAAATATCTTCATATAATTGTACAAAATGCAATTGCATGGACAAAGTGCATGTTTGTTGTGGTTATCCGGTAGCAGGTGCAGATGGCTGAGAAGAGCGAGGACTCTGATGAAGCAGTCAACTCAGGAAGTTGACTGCTGCCTTCAGAGATTGTGGGGGATGGCAGCAGTGATGAGGAGGTTCCCGAGGAGCCTGTGCCAAGTGCACGTGCACGAAGGATTGCTTGGAGGAAAGAACAATTACAGCACAGGCGACTCAGGAATAAGGCTGTAAAGTAATGGCCCCTCCCTCAAGAGGATAAAAGCCAGATAAAAGCAAAGAAGCTCTGAAGCTCAACTGGTGGACATCTGAGTTCATGTTTGGAGAATCTTGTAAATTAGTTCTTATCTCTGGGTTTTTGGCAGTCTTGACAAACAACTTGGCAAGGCGTTTTCTTGTCAGAACTAATTAGTGGAAAGCAGCCTTCAGAACAGAATTCGTTATTAAACCTTAAAAGGTGGGGACTGCTGCCTTTGTCTGTATTTGTTCTTTAGGAAGCCGGTTGGATCAGAACAATCTTTCATTAAATCCATAAGTGAAGAAAAGCTGGTATAACCTCTCCATCGTATAAAGCTAAACACAAATTTCAATGCATTTTGCTCGGTCCACTTGCACCAAAGTAAGAATGTTGAAAAAGTAACAAAATAATAAGTCTGAATATCAAAAAAGTACACATTTCCTTACCATCCATTTTTTAAACCACACAGCTTTGAGATCAACCAAAGCCAAAAAGTATAGTGGATCCCAAAATTCAGAAGAAGCCATTTGACTTAAATTATTATGCTTTACAGCCAGAAGGGATAAAGTACTCTCCATTATTTCTTCCATGTACCTAAATAAATTGGGGAGAAAAACAGCTTCATAGATCTCTCACAATGTTGGTATGGGTGCTACTTGTGCCTAAGCTTTCCGGTAAAATATAATTTAAAATTCTAGAAACTCTCTCATTACACCTTGGACCAGCCACCAAATGAGAATTAAAAAATGTAGACTGCTTTATGAAAAACTGGAATATTGTGAGGCTTGCTGGGAAAGAGTGCTTATATAATGTATGAAGTTAGGCTAGAAAAATAATTTCAAACTGAAACAAACCTAACATCAAACCAAAAGAAAAGCAGTTTTGATTCTAACTGCACAATTGTAAACTCATAAAACATTTTGTATACACGTTTTATAGTTGACAAAAGAAAGAAGTGGGGGGGAGTTTCAAAGAGCAGGAGGCAGTGTGGAATCAAAAGTACATTCCATTCATATTTTCTTCAAACACTGATTAGATGATTGAAGCTTCTGCCGCACAAAAATCTAATTGGAGAGCATGATTGATGACTCTTGGCTATGGACGTTTTTCGTTGGATGATACACCCAGAGGGGTGGGGGGGGGGAAGCAGGATCAAGGGTGACAGTGAATTATGTATCTCAGAGTTGGCTACACCCAGGTAAATGCCGGATGTAGAATGTTACCTTCAAATTAATCTTTTTCAGTTTTGGGAGTGTGGCTCGAGGCTCATGATTTAATTGGAGTAACTGACGGAATCCAGACAACAATCTCATAAGATTAAAATAGGTACATAAAATTTCAATGGGATACATTCCTAAGTAAAACACAAAACTGCGTCCAAATCTTCAAACATGTAATGTGAAACAAGTTGCAAATAGACAAATAGTGCAAAGGAGAAAAATTGGGGGAGGCAGGAAAAAGAAATCAAGACTCTTATTATTCCCCTTACTTATGATCATATTTTATATAAAAGTATGACAGCTTTTTGCATCTTCAGGTACAAAGCTTTTTCAGTTATATCGAGGTAAAGGCAAAGCATAAGATAACCTAAGCAAACTTTATCATCCCTATCTATCAATTAGTATAAGGAAACTGAAAACACAAATGAAAACAAACACAACCACATTAAAAAAAAAGGTATATACTTTTCTGGATGACGTATCCAAAAAGAAGATACTTCTCTCTGGTACTCATTCAGGAGTCGCATCTATGAATAAAAGGATAATTATTCTATTTTAAAATCCTTGATCAAAAACATCTTAAATAAATAAATAACATTGGAAAATAAGTATATTGTACCTTTTTAAGTAAACGTATTATGTCTGGGTTACTTATGTCAATACCCATTGACACACTAGGAATGTAATTATCTTCAGCAAGAAAATATGCCTCTAAGTACTTTGCTATAAAGAGAAAAATAATTGCCAATTAATTTAAGAGACCCAGTGAAAATTGTGGTCGTTTGTTTCTGAAAAGAAGTAATTTGAGCTCACCTAAGCTTGTATAGAGTTCTCTTGTCATATTTAATGGAGAGGAGGAAAATGTCTTGGCATAAAATTTCAAGACTTTATCCTGTAAAAAAAATGAATTAAACACAAGTTACAAGGAATGGACATCAGCTAACACTGATGATTTCAAAATGATGACATCTGAGATGTAATATCGAAGTCAAGCTCCACCATTTTGTACATGTGTCACGACACTATGTACAAGTATGTAACAACTGTGATGCACATTTAGTTGTTTGCCTTTTGTTGGTCCCGCAACTCATCTGCATTACTGGGTTCATATAATCCAAACCAAACTTGTACCACAATATATACTGCTGGTTTCTTTAATTATTTTCCCCATTTATATCCTGACTCTCCTTCAAGAAATGTGAGGATTCTTAAATTATTATCTTTATTATTACCGTACTGAGATTGATTGTGTTCTTTTCCTTCAGAAGCAAAACCCCTCCAAGCTAGAATGAGCTGAAATAGATTTTAATTCAAAGTTATCCAGTTAGCTTCCCTAGCTGATGTATTAGAATGTGTGCCTCCCATCCTATAATTCAGCCTCTTCTCCCTTACATTATCCTTGCTAATTTTGCAAAAAAATTATTCCCAAAGAGCAATGCTGATTTTCACCTAAAAGACAATGTCAGAATTGGACATTCTAGAATATTTGGAACAACATGGTGGAAAAACAAGCATTAAAAAAAAAATTAGATGCAGGGAATGCTTTGACAGTTTGAATTGGACTTTTCTATTTAATGCCTTGGGAAATATACATTTTTAGACAGAATTTTATAAAATGGGTAACATTGATTTATATTTCACAGAAAACAAAAATTGTTAATGGAGATCTAACAAATATATGTGCGATACAAAAAGGAACAAGACAAAGTTGCCCACTGTCTTCCCTTCTGTTGATTTTGCTTCTTGAAATTCTGAGTGGAGATATAAGATAAGATGAGAGGATTGTGGGAGCAAAAATTTAAAAAGAGTTACAACTTAAGGGATTTTGCAGGTGGTTTTGGAAGATCCTTTCAAGGGAATCAAAACACTAATGGGAAATAATTTGGCACATTAGCAAGTTTTAAGATTAACAAACAGAAGACAAAAATGACAACAAAATATGAAGATACAAGATCAAATTTATGTTGGAAAAGTAAACAACGAAGCGGGACATTTTATCAAGCTCGGTGGATGTTCAACAAAACCAGAAAAAATTGGATTCAAATACACACATCAATTCAGAAGATTTTAAAAATTAATATATAATTAAAACCAGAGGCTTTTCTTTTAAGCCTGATTAATAGTTGGAAAAAAGTCATGGAATGTTCTTTTTATACAGGATACCTGTAACAAGATTATCCATGTGCACAGGTGGAAAGATTCAAAATTTCCTACAATGGAGAATGGTTGGTGAAAATGACAGAATTTGACCACAAAAAAAAATAATCTAAATTTATTTTCTGGGAAAAAATGAAATTATAATGGTTTTTATAAGAAAAAATAAGGTTATAGGAAAAAATTATAGTCATGGTGTAATTAACAATAAAATAGATAATAAGAGATCAATTTATAACTGTTGTAAAGAAGCTGAGAAGCTACTTCTCTATGTGTTTTTTTTTTTTCTTTTTTTCAGCACTTTGGATTTTGAATTTTTTCTTTCCTTTCTTCTAAATTTTAGTTTCTGTTAGTATTTATCTTTATTAAAACCTAAATAAAGTATATTTTTTAAAACTAAATTAAATACTGTCCAATGGTTGCTGAAAATGACAGAAATGAAAATTACTGTGCAAATGTATCAGCTACATTGAATTAATTAGAACTACATTCAAGTTTATGTATACAGAAAGCATTATCTATTTCATATTACTAACAGATTAATAATTTAGCATCTAATATTTCTGGAGCTTTGGCATGTTACACTTCTCTAATTCAAAGAAAATTCTATATTATCATATATGAATAACATTTTTTTCTGGCTTCATTTATCCAGGAGTTATTCGAGCATTATTTATTCAGGCATTATTCAGGAAACTAATATTTTTTGAGTAATGCCTGAAAAAGTCATAACAGTACGTCTGCTTCTTTAACCAACTAGTGAGAAATACTTTGAATTACCAATTTCTTAGGCAGATGATAAAAAAGTTTGAAACTTATATATTGTATAAATTACAGTCAATTGAAATATTGGTTAAGAATAAAAAGCTTATTAGTATCTTTACACTGAAACTGGAATCAGGATCTGAGAGTGCTGTTGCAAGATATTTACGCAAGGTACTCCAACTTTCACAATTTAAAATATCAGATGGGGGTGCAGAACACAAGGTTTGAATGGCTTCTTGGCGGACCTAAAAATCAAGGAGAACTGAGTAAGAAAACTGCACTATAAGAATAAAATTGAAATATAAACCTACAATGAAGGCTATATCAAAAATTTAATTCTCCATCATCACCCTAATCATTAAGAATGATGGAAAAATCTCTATTTCTTTACCTTTTTCCTTTATACACCTCTAACTTCTGCTATAATTTTTACTTGCCTTCTATTATAGACTCTTTTTCCTCTCAGCTTGTCCTTCCAAATTCTGCACAGCTTGTCTTTGTCACAGGTTATTTTATTTGCCCTCTCCATCCCACCCCATCCCTCTCCCTCTCCTCTCCTCTCCTGTCATACAGACCTTGGTCTGATTTCATAAAGCTAATCAAACTCAGAAACTGTCCAGTTTGGCACAGCAACTAAACAGCACAGGCACAGACTTCAATAGATAGTTAGGACCGCAGAAAAAAATGATTGTATCCAGCCTACCTTTCACTGAGGACCTGTATACTGCATGGTTCAGAAAGAGGGCTGAGAAAATATCTACGGACCTTTCACATCCTGGCCATAAACTGTTTCAACTCCTCCCCTGGGGATGCCACTACAAGGAATTACATGCCAACACAACTAGACACAATAATTTTTCCCTTGTGCCATCTCTAGGCTGAAAATGTAATTCCCACAGCACTGTCTTATGTCTAAAGAAAACTCATATAGTAGGGTTGTATTACTATTATCCTTCTCATTTTTCCTATTACCTTCTTCTATTGGTATCTTATGATTATATTACTCTGTATGTACACTGAGTGGTAATTTGCTGCAGACAAATTCCTTGTGTGTCCAATCACACTTGGCCAATAAAAAATGTTCTGTTATATTCTATTGTAATTCTATTCTATCCTATCCTAATCAAGCTCAGACACTGGAAGATTCCAAGATTGTAGGGTAGAATGGGAAGTCAAAAAGCATCCAAGAAGTCAATGGCAGACCATTTCCTTAGCCATGCTTTTGTCAAGTAAGCTACCTGGACTATCCTTTCCCATTCTCTTCCCAACATTGGGAAGATTCAATATTGCAATTTCAATTCAATCTAAGAATGCAGTGCCAACCATTGTTCTGCTTTTTTATGGAAAATAAAATTAAGCAGGTAGGCTCTAATAAAGTGGAGTAGAGTGCAGCAGTCAATGAAATAAATCATGTACCTGTTTAAAATAGAAAAGGTGAAATTTTACAGCCTCCCATATATTAGTACATAAATGCTTAACAAATGAGATTCAGGCTGTAAGAAAGGTCCTGATACATAAATTTCAAACCCAAAAAGCATATTTTCTAAAAAGAGATAATATCGACTTCCAGTGGCGTTCTTGTCGACGACGGATCGGAGACCGCGATTGTGCACGGCTTTGATCTGTGCTTACCCTGTTGGAGGGGTCTTTAAAGGACCGGATCCATCTGACCCACCTCGTAGGGGTGGGGGGAAGAGGGGGAGACTGCCAGCTGGATCGAGGGGAGCCGCATCTCCCCTCCCTGGCTTGACAAACTCCCCTAGAAGACAGGGAGAAGCAGCAGTCTTTAATGGCTGCCCTGAAGGCGGGAAGCTGCCGGGACACAAGTTTGTACTGGAGAGTGAAAGTGGTGAGCGGCGTGTAACCAGATAAAAGACTTTGAACATTTTTTTTGATAACCTCGAAAAGCGGAAAGAAAGAGTCCTCGTTTGGAAGAGAGGTAGCGGCAAACGAGAAATAAGAGGAAAATATAAGGTAAAGAAAAAACCGGAAATAAAGAATTATATGTGATTAGAGACTAAATTTGAAATAACATATAGAACTGGACATTAATCAGGCATTGGATAAAATGCTGGACTTATTTGGAACTGATAAAATTTAATATTAATACTACAGAAAAGTGAATTAAAAATAAAAGAATTTTAAGAAGAAAGCTACACAGAGCACCACCTAAGGGTTAAAGACTTCCTTCTTTTATGTTTCTATGGAAATTACTGGTCGTATAGAGAAGAAATGGAATAAAAGATTATTAATATAACAAGATCCCTGGAAGCTTTATAAAAAAAAGAAGGGGGAATTACAGTTAAACATAAAAGAATGCAATACTTTGGGACTGTTAGAGGTTGATTGTGACAAGAAAACAAAAGAAAGAGAAAGTGAGATAAAAGGAGACTTTTGACAAGGACTATAACAGAAAAACTTGACTTTTAACAAAATAAAGAATAACAATAGACCAAAGAAATGGAAGAAATAAGTAAAGAATTTAAGTCGGAGCTTCAAATGTGAGAGAGATATTTAAAGAAAGAATGAAACTGGTGGAGTTAATGCTGAGTAAAGTAATGGCGTCACAGCTCGCAGAAGAACAAAGGAAGCTCAGAGACAATGAAAATAACAGCCTTGATGAGCATGAAGAACAAGGACCATTGTCAAGAATATAAAAGGACTTAAAACAGAGACATCGACACTAGAGACAATAAACAAAAGAGATAAGACACTCAAGATTAAGAGGAAGAAGGAAATATGTAAGAAGAAACCCCAAAAAAGAGAACTGAAAAGGGGAGGGGAAAACATGGCTAACAGGCAGAGGGAAACAAAAACAAAATTAGAAGGGAAAAAGAAGGAAGATTGGGGAAACTTAGAAAAGGGAAACCTAGCCAAAATTAAAAGAAATGATAAAGTTACGAGATTTAGAGATAAGGGATTGTATAAGGGGGATTTCACATGGGAATGTATACTGGCACTTAGTTTAAAATTGCTGGAAATTATTTTAGGATTATATAACTATATAACTATATAACTATATAACTATATATAACTATAACTATAACTATAACTATAACTATATATATAACTATCTATATATATATATATATATATATATATATATATATATATATATATAAAATTGTATGTGAATTATGCTGTTATGAACCCTTATATTGGAGGATTAAAAATGAGATCTATTAAGAAGTTATTTTAGCAACTTCAGGGGGGGGGTACCTTAAAATATATATGTTTTAAAATATACAGTTGATTATTTAATGTTAATATGTTTAAAGTCGGGGAATGAATTATTAAATCAGATAGATTGAGGGGACATACCATGTGGATCCTAAATATATTGGTTTTTATTTTTATTCTTTCTAGATTGTTGATTATATAATTGGCCTAGCAAAACTTTAGAATAATAATGATGTGTAATGTTGAATAAAATAGGTGGTAAGCTGAAAATGGAAATAGTAGGGGATAAAGAACTGGGAATCTATATGTGGATGAAATGATATTGATATTGAATTAATGTACTGAAATATAAAGCGGAAACTTATTTAAAGATGAGTGAAATGGACAATGGTATGAGATGATATTATATAAGATTGGTGGAAATGAAAGTATGATTATGTACAAGTGTTATAATCTGAACCATGTTGCCCACGTAAAGAGATGTGTAAAATTAAAAAATTAAAAACTTTTTGGGAAAAAAATAAAAAATAAAAAGAGATAATATCATGTACTTTAGTCATTCTTTGTCTTCTGTATCTGTTTTGAACATCCGCAGTTCTCTGTTTCCAAACTGGGTAACTGCAATGTTTATTTCATTAAATGGAATTGAAGAAAGAGTTGTTCTTAGCAAACTAAAATCAATGCTATGTGATTTGAGGGGGAGGGATGTTCTTGAAAAAATACAGAACTGTTTTTAGTCTCAAATGTATGCACATAGTTTTGCTATATTACATTCCCATTTCTGCTGAAAACTTTTATCAAAGCAGTTGATACTAGTGAGACTTATGAAGAACCATCTCAGAGAAAGGATTAGAAATAGACTATGCTTAAAGTATAAGATTGAGAAGAGAAACAGTTAATCCAGTGGGAAATAGATTCTGTCCCATTAGATCAGAAGACATATTTCCATCCATCTGTCAAGTGTCCTCACATCATTGATCACATCTCCGCCCCTTTTATTCTGATTTTCCTTGAGTTTTATGTTTTTTAAATTACAAAAATGAAACTGCTTTACTGGACTGAGAAGCAGTTCACCAAATATGAGCTTAACACGTGACAAAACCAAACTTAATTTGTCCATGCAAGCGCAAAAGGGTAAGATATTTTTCCCAATTTTTTTTTTAACTTACCTCCTTAGGTTGCGCCGGATCGAGTCTTTCTACAAGCAGCTGTAATTGTTCTTGATTCATAAATGTGTAACTCTGCAATACATTGTAAAAGTGCTCACTAACCAAATACAATCAATGGAAACTGACTTTATAGGATTTTAAAAAAGAAAGAGAACATTTTAATTATTAAATCTTTAAAAAAAGTGATATGATGATTTAAAGCAGTCTCTTCCTCCACAATAACCCCATTAAGAAATAGGTTAGATAAGTGATGGGCCCAAAGTCAATTACTGAACTTCCACATCTATGGATGGATCCATAAGCAGCCATAAACTGCTACATTTTCCTCCAGGATGAATTCAGTTTATGCACTCTCCTATAAATATAATGTAAAACCATCACCCATGTTATTTAGAGAGCTGGTGAGCTAGCTGCAGCCATATTTTAAGAGTTGATATCTCCAATGTTTGTAGGCCTCTCTTTTGTTCTATGGGTCTTTGGACCTCTATCATCTATCTATCTATCTATCTATCTATCTATCTATCTATCTATCTATC